ATATAATACTGTATAGGTAATATATATAACACAGAAATAATAATTTTTAAATTATTTTATCTAAAATTCACTACATAATTTTTAACTTATACGAAAAGTTAACAAAAAATATATAATACGATAAACAGGGATTCATTTTCAACAAGTTATGGTTATGGTAACCCATTTAAGCTTACTATTATGTGTAGCATTATGCAGTATTAACTAGTTTTCGTGTGCAATTTAAGATACTAAATAGTCAGGTACCTACTATATTGATTCGATCCCAGTACATTTGACACACATACACACACGCTGTAGGTGCATTATAGATAATATTATTATATCTTACGTATCAGATCAAAATATTTAAAGGGACATTGAACGTAAAATATAATGTGTTTTACAAACTGCACGTAAGACGTAACTGCAGTTACATTGTGTGAAGACATTATTGAAATGTAAATGGTATAGGTAGGTATTGTAGCAGCAGTATACCTATACGGAATCGAACGATAAATCGAAACAAATATGTTTTGTAAAACATGACGTTTATTATAACGCAGCAGAGAAAAACAGATCAAATTCATGATTTACGGACGTTTGCGACCTACGTGTTTACGTATATGCATTCGCATTCGTCGACATTATTATTATATTAGCGGCCCGTAGACGTGTCACGATTGTCGGACGATATCATAGATGTTTAGGCACATAATATGCCCATAATCTAAGTATATTATTATTTTATTATATACAGGTGCCCATACCCGCCCGACTTTATATAATATTACTTTATATATATATATATATATATATTGTATATTTCCTATAGTCTGGTACCTACGTGACTCGCCAAGTCGACGTTTATCTTACGTTCACGTTGTTTCGTAACGAATCATTGAAACATATTATCGTTTTTAAAAACGACATCACACAGACGCAGGTTCGTAATTAAATTGGTCATGGGGATCATTGGGTGTTCGGCGTGTGTACGGCAATAGTATGCGTACCCATATATATACGCATGTACGCGTTGTACATTGTACGCCTCCGACGGTAATTCGGCGTGGGCTTGAAGGCGCATTTCTATCTCCTTTTCATCGTAATATTTTCTTTTACACATGGACACGGCAATAGTTGGTATGTGTGTTTGTGTGTGTGTGTGTGTGTGTGTCATTTATACACAGAATACTGGTGTATAGTGGTTGTTCAACATTTATATTGTATTATTATTATTATTATTATTATTATTATTATTATTATTATTATTACCACTATTATTGTCGTCATCATTATCGCAGTCGTCAAATCGATCGGCGACGACAAATATATATAACAACGGGTAACGAATTTATCTTTTCCATTTTACCAATTACATGACGGCATAAAAGGATTATGTTTTCCGTGTGAACCGAACAGAATGGAAATTATTATATTGTGGCGTGCCGTCTGTCAGTCACGTCAGCGAACAAGCTACTTCTTGGGTGCTGCCGGTCGGAAAACGTTCACTTGAATGGACTTGAATCGTCAAAATCTTCAATCATCTCAGTCGCTCAAACACTGCCCCTGTATCTCTCTGTATATCTATCTTGCTCTCTTACTCTATCTCACTTGTGCTCGTTCTGTCCGTTTCTTAATGACTGGAGGAATTACGAAAATGTAATAGGTATTACACGGTATACATACACCTCGATAAATTGCGGATCAAAGAGAGAGCGAGCTGGTGAAAATCCGATCGATTTGCAGACTTTACCGGAGACGACGATGTAATAATATTTCTAATTTCTATCACTTTAAACAGGTCAATTTTCGTGTGATTATTTTTTATTATTTTTATATTTGTTCCACTAATCATTTTTATAAGAAATCGGTTACATTATTATGAGTGCAGATGGATACATGCAATTAAAAATAAAAATAAATTATAACAAACTATTTGTAGTAAGTAATAACCATAAAACATTACAAAAAATATATATTAACGAAAAGAATATGTGTGAGAGATCTTGAATACTTACCTATACATATAAACTGTAGTTTTATAATGTTACTCTATTCCAAATTTATTTTTGATTCAATTATTTTAAGTATTATAATAGGATACTATAATGATGCCAGTGGCGTATATACGAATTATTTTCACTATGGGCCGATTTATCAATTATCACTAGTCAAGCAGCATAGCCATAATTATACATTTTTAAGGGAGCAGCTGTTATATAATTAAGAATTATGACATATTATACAGTTCAAATAAAAATTGCGCAATTCAATTTTATAATTATTATGTAAAATTAATTTTTTGTTTCTTTTTTTAAAAATATTGACAGTGTCGTTTGTATATTTTAATGTTATCTTACTATGAATTTAACATCAAAGTCAATAAGTCATTAAAGCAAGTCCCGTCAATATATCTAACATTTCCTTGTAGATTACTCAAAAATGATTTTAATCAACCGGCTAACTTAATCATGGAGAAAAACTGTTAACAGTGTAAATATACATGCAATGCTTTAATTGAGCCTGCAATTTCACTATGGGCTCTGGCCTAGGGGGCCTCCCCCCTATATACGCCACTGAATGATGCTATACTAAATTATCAAAGTTATGTTTATCTGATAATACATCTATATAAAAAGAATAGAGGGTAATGATTCAAGATGCTCGCCTGATAATTTGGACCAAAATTATAAGTGTATGAAACAATGAAATATATAAAAATTATTATGAGTTTTGTTTCAGTATAGAATTTTTATATTAAGTATAGGTTAAGTAAGATACAGAATAATAGGTATCAACAATTTGAGGACAAACTGAATAATGATAAATTGATAAGTATTTTTAGAATGAATCGTCAAAAAAAAAATTAAGCAACTATGATTTTATTAATATAAATAGATACTAACATATTATAATAACTGATTGATGACCATAATATTATGTTATTTAAGAATAATTTTTATTATTTAAATGCCTTTATAAAAGTATAGGTACTATTCAGCCATAAACATTTTAACATATTATATGTATGTTGTATGTAGTAACTGGTTAAGTATAATAATATGTTATAGGTACACCTGTTATTCAATTTACCGTCACGCCTTTTCTGTCAGAACAAATCTATATGTTTTAGTTTATTACACCTACCTATTTCATTTATTTATGTTTTTATATTATTATTATTATTATTATTATTATTCAATTTCACGTACAATTCTTAGGAAAGTATTCTAATTACATGCAAATAAGTAGATTTTATTAAATATAAAAAACTTAATAATATTATTAATTATTTACGATGAATAATACATAGATCTAAGAATTATCAGGACATGAAAAAAAAACCTCTGAAAATAAAATAAGAAATATTTGCTGCCATTAAAAAAAGTAAAAATTTTTTGTTATAAATTCAGGATGTGTAACGGGATTATTTTCCAGAACTTAAACATTTTATGAGACGATTATTGTTCACCGCTATCCATTAAAGGAATATCACTCAGCTCATAACATTTGTTAACTAGAGAGAGAGAGATGCCTACAGCATAACATATTATTGTAAATCGTACGAAATCATTTAGATCGTGTGTGGGCTCGATGCGGTGGCACATGTCAACCAAAACAATAGTATTCCTATGTTGCGTAGTACATCGGTTTATGGTATATTATATAGGTACATCTGCAATACGAAGGAAATAATATGACTTCCTAATAATAAATAAAAAATAAATAGATAGTTGTTGAGCAGAATATATAGGAATATAATAATAATATGCACATTCCCTTTTCCCCGTTTCTCCATTGACCTCTCTCAAAAAATGTAAATATGTGTAAAGTATTTTGACTTATTAACTTGACCAGTACCTCACCTTACCATTTCGCATCAAAGCATTATACATATTACATAATATTATACAATATTATATCATTATTATTGGGATCTGAAAATGTGTTAATAATATCAATAAAGTTAATTTCGTCTACTAGCTATTTCAAGTTCAATTGATAATATTGCTAAATTTGTTGTTTTTCCTGATTTAAAGTAGTTCTTAGGTATTTTTTTATCAACTTTAATTTAAAAAAATGATCTCTAAGCTTTTACTATTTGGTAATGTGAGCATAATCCTTATTGACACCGTAGCAAGTAACAACATAGGTATTAACATCGCCAACGCTATTGAAGAAATCCAAAATAATTGAGAAAATTATTTAATTGTGTAAATTATTAATAAATAAATTTCTTTACAGAGCCTTGCATTGTATATTTTTTTTTCTTGTTCCATTTTGGCTTTTTTTGCTAATTTTTCATTTCCAAATAAATATTTCCTATTCTTATCAACTCATCACTATCTCTTGATATGTTATATTGTTGGTTTTCGCCTTCAAGTCTTATTTAAAAAATACAAATTATAAACACAAATGATGTGACTATTAAATAATTATTGTGGTAAAAAAAAACCAATGAGTTATTGCAGAACATAGAAAACGGTAAAAGTATATTATGAATACGAATGAAACCACGCACGTGTACATGGTTTCCAATAAAATAATCTTATATTGTTGTTTGTCTGAACAGAAATGTTTTTTGCGTGTTTGCAGGAGTTTGCACGAACGGGACGGCGCCGTCGGTGAGCAGCATCAACCGGATACTGCGGAACAGGGCGGCTGAAAGGGCCGCGGCCGAGTTCGCCCGGGCTGCCGGGTACGGGCTGTACCAGGTGTCGCACCCATACGCGTCTTTCCCGTGGCCGCCACACCCACATGGCATGTGGCCGGGCGTGGCCGCGGACGGTCCATCCGCTGTGGCCACGGCCGTGTCGTCGTCGGGCGGACTGCCGATGCACCACGGACCGTCCGGGGCGTCCAACAAGAACACTCCACTGCATCAGATGATCAATGCCCATCAACCTTGCGGCGTCATGTCGTCCAGAGATCTCATGCCCAGACTATTAGGTGAGTGAACGCTTTCTGTATATTATACTACACCATAGAGGCATAGACCTTATACTATGTATAGTTGACCGACAGAGGTGAAAAGATCTATTTGAGGACATAGAGACTGTGGGCCGAAAAAATAAAAATGGTGGTTTACGTACGCTTTGGTCGTTCACTTTTCTTACGTTACATTCGAGAATAGATCCCCAGGAACGCACTACGTTTTTTTTATTTCGATTAATTTTACTAAAAAAATTAAATGTAACTAATGTTTATCCATCTCTGCTTGTATATATTGGTAAATTAAAATTACACTTTTACATTTTCTAAATATTGTCATGATATTATATAGTTTTTCTTTCGAGTCAGGGTAAGAATACTTGCATGGACGAACCACTTTGTGATGTATGTTATTATATTATTATTATTTTATGAGGTATATTTTTTTGCAATTTTCATGTGTGGCTTCGAAAATTTTTTTCCAAATAGTTAATATTCATAGTTATATAAAATAGTATGTGTTTTTCGAAAACTGAGAGCCCTAAAACGAGAAAATAAACATCAAATAAGCACAAATACATTTCCATATAGTTTATACTTTATTACTGTTATACTTTATTACTTTATTACTGTTTACTGTTTATAGTATCTTAAATGATTAGCGATCGTCATCGTAATATTAAGCACAGTAAAATACGTTTCACTGTAACTAAATGTCAACTGAAATCAATCCCTGTAGGATTTGAAATAAAAATATATACCTACTACGTATATTTGAGAACTAAATATAATAAGCATCAAATTTTAAACTTAAACTTACCTAACTGAAATAGTGTATTTGGTACAATACTGAATCGGATGATAAAATTGATTTTTGAACTTTTATCCTATACTACTTAAGTACAAAAGTGCACATAAATCATTATCATTCATATCATAAAGGGTTATTATCACCTAGTAATACAATTACTAGTAACGCTTTAACGTCATATAGCTTATTGAAATATGCTATAATATTATGTACCTACATACTGTAGATGGCCACATTTCGTGATACACACTTGGAATAATCAGCACAACTTTTTGAAATTACCTACTTGATCCAGTTTAATTGAATTTAATTACAACCGTACCTATAATATTAAAATGATGACGACTGGGACACACACCTGCACAATAACAATGCCTATCCAAAATTATTATTCTCATATGATGGTTGTCAAGGAAACTTCATGGTTCATACGTTGTTTATTTATAACTTTTAAGTCTTCAAACGCTCTTCCCCTAGAAAGTTAGTTCTAAGTATGGCCTTATATAGGTACAATATGTAGGTATTATATAATGGTGATGGTTATCGCTTATCACCCCTTTTTAATCTTAACTTAGGGCAGATTTTTTCTTGAGTGTTGAACCTTTGTTATAGTCAATGCGACCAAATAGTATAATATTATTATTCATTGCGTAATGATGATCGTGTAGGTACCTATACAAAAGAGCAGAAACTGTTCGTTTCCGCAGATTCCTTCTAGTATAGTTTTTAGATCCATCCTTGATGCCGATCATGTTAACGAATTGAATGCAATATTGCAATCCCCACTACTTTTTTGTAATACAAAATTTGGAAGACCCTGTATTGACCGTTATATGCATCGTTTGGCTATAATATATTATATATAGGTTTATATTATATACGTAACTCACTCGTGGTCATTATATATTAGGAGGAACTTCGCATCAATTTCAAGGGGGGAGGGTAAAAATAAATTGTGGTTTATGGACCCAACCTCTGCTTCCTCTCACGCCCACAACGCATTTCCTTCCGTGAGAGAACCGATGACTTTCATTTTTTAGATAAAAGTAAAACCAAAACATTTATAGCAAAAGTGTCGAAAGTGTTCGTGGTAAAGAGTGGTCATATTATATTAGGCGGAACTCGGCATCGATTTCAAGGGGGTGGGCAAAAGTAAATTGCGGTTTACGGACCCAACCTATGCTTCCCCCCACGCCCACAACGCATTTCCTTCCGTGTGTGAACCGATGACTTTCATTTTTTAAATAAAAGTAAAAACAAAAAAATCTATTGCAGAAATGACAAAAGTATCCAAATTTATTTGTAAAATGGAGTTTGAAAATCAGATAGTCATGAAGTATGCTGAGTTTATTTATTAGTTGTATATTATATCGTTTTTATCGTTTATTCATTGTAGTATCTATCGATAAATCGTTAAATATTTTGTTTTATATTCTGACCTATACCAGGGATATCACGAAGAAGCGGGATTCGTATAATTCTCGAAATTGTGTGTGATTTTTAATACTTTTTAATACTTCGATTGAATATTGATATATTATAATTATAATGACTTTAGAATAAAATTAATACCGAGGAAAAAATTCTGGACAATAGTCCAAAATAAATATAATGTCTTTGTTTGAAAATAGCTATTTCTTCCTTAAAAATGTAACAAAACTTTTAATTTAATTTATTAAAACTCTTATTTATTATATAATACATTGTTGATAATTTCCAATTTATTTTTCAATAGCGATTAGAAAAGTATTTATTTATTCAACCGATATCGTTTAATGCTATATATAAACGTTATCAACAATATCAATTATCAACCATCGATTTTTCATTTTGCCAATTTATTTCTAGACTATGATATTACAAGAGATAAATACAATTTAATGCTATATGAAACATTTTTATAACGTTTTTGAACATTGTACCACAGAAAAAGAAATCGAAAGTTTTTACCAATACAAAATATATAATACTGTTTCATCTATTTAATATTTTGTATTTGATATATAATACTTTAGGTAATACTCTATTTCAGGTTATTTTTTGAGTTTTTGTCAGGACTTTATTTTTACCATTTTTTGATTATAACATAACATTATTGTAAAAAAAAATAACGTTATATAAATATTACTCAAATTATTCAAATTATGACCATTTAAAAAAAAAATTTATAACAATACTTTTTATGAAATAACGGTATTTTCGTAACTATTAATCGTCGGTAATTAATACCCATACTCGGGTTAGAGAAAATCCGATAACAACATAAAGGTGGAACTTATACACACTACGTCCTGTTATTCGTCATCAATACATCCGTTGCAACTAGCTAACATAAATATCAGGGGAATTATTCCGTTCTCTATTGTAATAGTACCTTGGTGCAGTGAGGTTTTATATTGATCTCGTAATCTTGTGACAACAACAGCGACTTGGTATTATTTTTTTAAAACCTTTTTAATATCTAAATATTGTAGCGATTGCAATTGTTATCACTTCTCGTGTACATCTATATAAACCGAAAATAAGAAGTTTTTATTTCAAAGTACCATTTTGACTACTGAAAAATATAGATCAAAATATATTTTAGGTACAGCTGTAATCAATATAATATTATGCATGACAGCTAGTGCTTTGCAATTTTCGAATTACATATTATAATAATAAATAATGCATTAAATACAAAATAAAATATACTGTCGCTGAAATTCCGTTGCACTGATTTGAATTATGTTAAAATGTTGAATTATGTGATGCTAAATTAGTGTCAGTACCACGTTGGCAGGTTATACTATCGTAGTAATCGTGACCTATTTTCAAAATATTCATATTTATGTCATGATTGTTCATTTAACTTTATTTCTATATATAGATACTATGCGAACGTTGAGCTTTAATAATTTATACTAAATGCTATTAGTTACAAATAAACAAAAAAAACAACAGTAATCGTCAATACGTATAAAGTAATATAATAATAATAACAACAACAACGCCACTGCATCCACCCGTGCATCTGCACGCACTGCACACAAGACCGACACATCGTAGGTACTTACACATTACACTTATATTATATTATTATATATGTATATAACTTGTCTCGGATCTGCAAGTATATAACATAATATAATACGCAGTGGTTCAAAAGGTGGTTTGCTCAACCGGTTGTTCAGTCGTTGACAAATTGACCGATCGCGGCGGGCAATTGCAGTGTCTTTGAAATGGAGGGAAGAAAAAATTATTTTTTACCACACGAACCCAAGTGCAGCGAGGCTTGGGCAGTAAGAGGGAGGGGGTAGAGAAGGAACCCATTCGTTTAAACAATAATATTATTATTACGCATGCCTCGAGAGGATGTTTCAATAGTACAAGTACTATATAGAGCTCTAAAAACCTAAGTATATTATCCCTGCATTATGCAGACCAGTAACGGTACCCGTGCCGGTATACATATAACAACATTGCGTTTCATAAAAGTTGATCTATGTGAGTAAACTTGCATGAATGTCCATGACGAAGTTGTAATAATATATATTATAATTTATAGGTATATAGGTAACCGTGTAATTGGTTATTCGAATCGGCGTCATCGTTTTCACATATCTTTTAACTTAACATTAACTTTTTAACTCGTTTATGTCCAGGCTTGCACCTCAATACAAATCTATCAGTTTTATAATACTATATTAAATGAGTATAATAATATGTCTTGAATCATTACTTCACATTTTACGATCATTATATGTAATATGATTATGATATTGTTGATCGTTTTAATCATTTCATTAAGCATATTATCTGTTCGACTAGCTACCGCCATGATAGTTGACCAATCGGCGAAATGTGATGTACAGGTAGCAATATATTCTCCCTGGACGTCACGAATAATACGAAAACACGCATGATGCAGTAGCTGACTTATCATTTATGTTATAATAACAAGCACAACGAAATCGTATCTGTTGAAATTCCCATGAATAATAAAATCAGAAAATACCAGAAATGTTAGAATAACTTAAAAAAATAAAAATAAAAAATACAATATTAATTAAATGCATGAATGATCATGAAAGAATCGTCCACCGTCTAGAATACCATCTGGATTTTAAACCAGTTTTCTACTCGGCATAATTCAATCTATTTTAATCTTTTTTTTTCTTACCATAAAATATAAATCCTCGGCCGATTTGAAATTAAAACCACGCGA